GTTCTTCCCAAACCAAGCTTTTAAGCCCAGGCTAAAATAGCCAAAAAAGCCAAAAAGCCAAAAAGCCAACCCACTTCCCAAACGGAGGCTGATTCTATTCTAATAGTTTAAATTATTAAAATTTTAATTTTTTATGTGTAAATTATATATATATATATATATCAGATAGATTATTGTAAATTTTACATTTATTACCTATTTTTTTAACAACAAATGTGAACAAATTATATGATTTTTTTTTTTTTTTTTTTTTTTTTTTTGTGTGTGTGTGTTGGGTTTGGAATGGTGAGCGGGGTGAATCCCTGATATGAATAAAACAAGTATGTTTTTGCAAACTCGAATGAGAGGTGTGGTAATGTAGAAAAATCAAGTGTTGTTTTTTTTTTTTTTTTTTTTTTTTTGGTGGTGAAAATAAGAAGAATAATAATAAATAAAAGGAAGGGGTGGAAGATAGGGGAATCAATGAAGGCTAGTATAATATATTGGAGTGGGAAAAGAATGATGGGAATGTTGAGTATATAATAAAAAATGGGTATTTGAAAGAGATTAAAAAAGGGATTTAGAGAAAATAAATAAAAATAATAGATTTAAAAATTAAACGGAAGAAAGAGTTAGGACAAGCCCACGTGGGTGGCTTTGGTTTGTTTTTTTTGTTTTTTGTAAAATAAAATAAAATAATAAAATAAAGAAAGTGTCATAAAAGGGATGCACATGGTTCTGAGGTGGTTCATAAGAAGAATAAGAATAAACGGAAGTGGGAATAAAAGGGAAATATCGTGGGGGGCATGTGGGGGCATATGGGTTGATTATTAGAGAGAGAGAGAGACCAGAGAAGACTTCTGCTTCATCTCCTTTCCCATCTGCCTCCACCTTCAGATTATCCTCAACTAAGCCATCCATTTCCCTCGTTCACAGCTCCTAATCGGAGGACCCTCTCAGACGAAGCTGAGACTCCCAAATGGAGACTGGAGTTGACGATGATCATCATCAAAGATCATAGATCTATTATACCTTAGGGCCGTCCGATCAACGCCGTTTTCCGACACCGATGAGAAATTGAGACGACAATGGCGCATGGGGTTGCTGTGAAGTGGGTTTAGAGACAGGTCTTTGGAGAGAACAGGGGTGGTGGAAAAGTTGGGATCGGGTACAGGTGGAGAGGTGCGGAAATGGAGGACCCGGGTGATGGAGCCATCGGGGTTTCGGATCACAGGGATGAAAGTTAAAGGTTTTCTTGTTGAATCTGTGGCTTCCATTGCAAGAGAATGTGGCAACTCGTGGAATGACACTCCCATCTCTGTGCTGATTCCGATGTCTGCAGGGTTCCTTGATGCAGGAACTTTAAGCGGAGAAGGCTTGGAGAGCCGATGTGTTCTTCTTGCGGAGGGCACGGAGGCGCTTGTGGATGAAGCTGAGAACTGGTCCGTCGGTCACGTCCGAAGGTTTGGAGGTTTTGCTTGGGCGAGGTATGTGGAAAAAAAAACAAAAACACAAAAAAACGTAGCGGACTAGGTTGAGGTCCGGCGGGCGGCTAAGGTGAGGTTGCCGCCCGCCGGGAAGCGAAAATACTAGTGAAAATACTAGGTTCTAAACCTGCTCTGATACCATGTAAAATAAACTGATGTATTATTGATTGATTTCTGATATCTATTACAATGGTGAGGGATTCTTTATATAGATGTAGGTGTAGTGGAGTAGGTGGTGGTAGGTGAGTGTAGTAGGTGAGTGTGTGGTAGGTGATGGTAAGTGGGTAAATTTTAACAAAATCAAGGCTTCGGGTCCCCTGTTCCAAAAGCCTGTCCTAATTCACAACTCATCTGTCATATCCCTTACCTTCCGACTTCGTGGTTGTCCTCGCCACCTTGCTGCGCACCTTAATCTGTGTTTTGGCTTCATCACTGTGGTCAGACCAAATCATCGCCACAAGGTGGCTGTTCCGCAGCCCCGAAAAGGGGCCATAGTAAGATCCAGTCACTGTAAATGTTTAACAGTGGCTGATCTGCTGCATCTCAAAGTTCAACGGAGCTGATTGCACGATCTGCCTGGTTGGAGTATGCCAACAGCAACCAGATCTGCTCGCCGTCGCAGTTGCGCTACGAATTTCATGAGATCCACTACCAATCGTCGACGATGAAGACGATGCGGCGAATCACCCTCTTTCTCATCTTTTAATGTTAACAACACCATATATATATATATATATATAATGTCACATATAAGCTACATGTATGTTGTGTAATTAAGGTAAGCCCAATTCGCAAATTTCCCTATTTTAAATCTTGCTGGTTTTGTTCATACATCTAGTTTGCAGGTATGAATGATACCAATGGCTACTTCCGAATACTTTTGATTGCTGGTATCTGTAAATAGTATGTGTCAATAGCCAAGAACATGAAATCTTTGATGATGATAGATGGTCTATCTGTCTGATTCTGTTCCTATTCTCAGGTTTAGATGAGTCATATTTGTTGGGTTGAGAGAGAATCCATACAAAACAGAAGGCTAACAGAGTTATAATTGATCTTTAAGACTAGACACATGTCAGCATGAGAATTAAGGGATAGAGAGTTGGGACAGGCTTTTGGAACAGGAGATCCGAACCGCCAAATCAAAGACCTAACAAATTTAATTAACGAACCAATACTGATAAGTAAAAGCTGGCCTTATGGTCAGGCAAGACGTGTCTCACACCTTCCCATCTTGTACCTTAGCCCGCAAAGACCGTCTTCAGTGAAGTTAGACCATGCCTTATTTTGGAGTCAAACATTTTGGTTCCTTGATTTACCCTGAAACCAAGTGGCAATTCTTAATCTTTTTCAAAATCTAAATCAAAACAAACGTTTTTCCAAAATCCATTGCACTTGTATATGTTACTATCATTTGTCACACAATTTTTCATGTTGAACATTGCAACATGTTTTTATTACAGAAGAAAACTTAGGGACCATAATCCATTTATTGGTTACAATGGATGAAACTAGATGATATATGATTGGAATTCTTCATCTTGTTGTTGATCTTAATAAAAAGACCGATTACTTTGCTTGCCGAAAATGCCAGGTCCATATGTTGAAGACATGAGATCCACAAGGAGGGGGAACTGTAGGAGCATGAAAGAAGAAATTGGTAAACATGCTGATGTAACAACTAAACTAAGTAGCCAGCTGTTCTTGTCACCCAACATAAGACACAGTGTCGAGCTAAAGGCTACAATCATGGTTATTATGGAGAGGAACAATGTAACAAAGCCAACAATCAGCCTATGGGGAAGAACATAGAGAAAATCGTCTTCAGCATATCGTGAAGTGAGGATGGACAAGAATATCAGAAGAGAAGTGGTGGACATGAATAGAGCAATTGCATCCGAAACTAGAAAAACAATAAATGCTTTTTCTGTGGAGAAAATTGGGAGTCCACTTGTGTTATTGTTCCCACCTGGAACAGTCATCGCAGCAGCAAATACTATAGCAGTAATGAGTGTTGTTGCAAATGTGCATGAGGTCGCTCGGTTTTTCATCCATTTCTCTCCTTCAACTACTAAATCCATGTGTTTATTGGTGAAAACTGTTGAAGGAGTTTCTCCATCGTCATTTTGCATTTCTATATAACTCGGGTTCACAAACTTCTCCACTTCCTGTACGATAGCCAAGCATTTTGAAATAATGGATCAATGTATTTGTCTTTTTTAAGACTAAATTTTGAAAAATTATTGTTTGATCTTAAATTGAAACTACACATACTTAGGCAAAAGAAATGCAGATGCTCACACACAGACATTACTAGCATACATCAGTAATTAGTCCTTGGAATAGAAAGAAGTATTGTATTACCTTAAACCATTGTAACTCACGCTGCATCTGCAGAGCTGCACCAGGAACAACATTGAGTTTCTCTATAGGTGCTTTGTTTCCAACCAAGTGTAGCAGTGTGTTCCCTTCATTATCTATCAATCGTGTGATATATTGTTTATACTCACCCATTTGATACAACAGGTTGAAAACATTTTCGTGGCGCTTTATAACTGCAAGTTCAAATATGTTTCGATCTTCTGAGTTTTGATCAAGAATTGCTGTAGGAAACGAATTCACAATCTCTTCTATAATCTCGTGAATCCCTAACTTTGCTGCTACGAGGAGTGGATTTCTAGCAAGTGATCTATAAGCTTCCAAGTCTTCTAAAGATCTGACTTGCTCACATAAGTATTTAACTAGTTTGAGTGCTTGATTGTGCTTCAATTTTAGCTCTCGTATGTGTTTAATGGGAGGCACTGCAATTGCATAAATCGTAGGTATGGTAACTTATAATTGAATCAATGTGTGTACAACTATAAAAATAAAAAATAAAAAAGCAGTACAAAAAAAGATATAACTGAATCAATGTATGTTTAATTAACTAGTGCTTCTCGTCCATTACCTAATAATTCCGAGACTCTCCAAAGCATGTCCTTCACTTTTTGCCTTTCTGTATGTCATAAAACACAATAGAACTTGTTTTCATTTGGGAGGAAAATGTTATGATTATATCTAAGTGCATTGTGTAATTGACAAACTAAAACTAACTTTGTAAAAGATTTACAAGCAATTTGAACAATGTGTGTGCAATTCAAGTAAGTAAAAAGAAAATGCCACGGCCGGTCATGCCCGGATTTGGGGTGTGACAGGGTTCAAGTGGTAAAAGTTTCATTCTCCTAGAGTAAGGTCTTGTTAACTTAGCTATCTAATTTTTTAATAGAAAAAATCATGTGCCACGTGGCATGAGGACAAGCAAAGTATTCAGGACACTAAAAGACATATTCACTTTATATAATAGTATAATAGTATAGATAACTAACAGTTGGTAGATGCAATGCGTGTGTAATTCAAATAAGTAAATATATATATATATATATATACCGTATGTTGTGTAAAATAGC